TGGGTGTGCCTGTGGGGCCGCTTGTGCTTTGCACGGCCAAGGCCATGGCCAAGGCCAAGAGGCCAGTGCCAAGAGGAGGCCCGTGGCTCCGACACTCACTGCGAGGCCAAATACGTATCGCAGGGCAGAGCGGCACTGCCTCGTGATTCACCTTCTCCTTGGCACTGCCAAAAACTTCCTAGGCTTTTGTCCTTTGATTTGCCTCTTTTACAGGGATCTGTTGACTTGGTGTATGTGGTATTTCGGAGATTAGGGATTGATTTCCCCAATGTGCCTTGGTGCATGTGGAAAATGTTGAGCATTTAAGATGCCATCGAAAAAGCAACACGACAACTTAGAGAAAATATTTACTGAGAGAAAATGGATTTTCTTTCTTTTTCTCTACTGAACAAGCAAATGTATTTCATTTGGGTAACGACCTTTAAACAAAATAATTAAAAGCAAAATACCACGGAAACATTAGAGAAGCCAAGCATGAATACTGAACAGTAACAAGTTTAGCTACAACACGAGAGGAAATCATAGGGCAAGTGTATAACAGCAGTTCTTTTCTAATGAATTAATATAAGAAATCTCTATGCTTCAAAACAGTCCAGAAAAAGAAAAAAAAAAAAAAAAAGGAAATTCAATATGTAACTTTTTTTTTAATGTCGGAAAGACAAAAGTATTTATTGCTATGAACCTTCTTCATCTCTAAGCCAGCTTCTAAGTTGCAATGAGAAATTAATACTAGCCTTCAATATACTGAATTTTTAGATAAAAGCAACCCGTCAGTGGCAGCTAGTATGGTTTGGAAAAGAAACATACTTTAATGAATGTTAAGTATGAAAAAATGAAAAAGTATATTTATTTTATAGCTATTGTGTTAGATTTGGAATGGAAGACTTGTCTTTTTCTATTCAGAAAAAAACATATATATGTATATATATTATTCAAAAGTATTCTGGTAAACAGCTTTTGTTCTGTCACTCTTTCCATAATTATTTCAAACTCATATGAATAGAGATCTGAATAGACAGTTTGCAGGCTCAAGCTCATCAGAAGAGCAAATATATTTACAGCTAAAATAATGAAAACAATTCACTTCAACATAACCTAATTTTCAAAAAGTGAGAATGCAAAGATTGAAAAAAAAAAAACTAAAACAGCTAAGAAATCAAATTTCTGGGTAAATGTTGCAAGAAATTACAAAAGAAAATTTTCAACAAAGAAATAATATAAAACCCACAGAATACAAATACAAAAATTACGAAAGCCAGCAAGCAGATCTGCAGGCTTCCACAATTCTGCCAAACACTCCTTCAAGGGCCTTCTGCATCTTACTGAAGCTCCCAGGGGAGAGGCTGCTCCTCACGTGCTGCCTCCGCGTGGCACAGGCGGCCCCGAGCGAGCGAGCGGGCGCCCCCGCTGCAGCCCCAGCTCCGCCGCGCTGGCACCGGAGAGCCAAGAAGCACCGCCGGGAAGGAGCTGCCTCCTCCAAGCAGCCCTATCCCACGTGTCCTCACGGCACTCAGGACTCGAGCCCACGTGCGCAGCATCCTGCGGCCTGTGCCCTGTGCTCTGGAGCATCAGGGAACAGAAAGCCTGACAGATTTCTGATGCCGGGGTTTACAAGGTTATGTGGTCAAATGATTTCTGGAGAATGAAGAGGAGGAAAAGGAGGAAAAGAGAAGCAACTGTTTCCCCTCTTTTCTCTGTGGGGGCAAGTAGCAACCCATAGAAAGGGCAACTGAGTCTTCCCCCAGTCTACAAAATCTCCTTTTCTTTCTTTTTCCTTTTTGAGTAACTGTTTTACCAAGTAAAAATTCAAACTTCTCCAAAATATGCAGCTCACAACAAAGTGCCAACAAAAATTCAATTAAATTCTAAATTTGCTAACAGTGTACCAGTCTTTCAATCAAGCTTGCCCATGTTCAACAGCACAGTATATTCCAAAGCTTTAAATAAGATAAAAGCTTTGGCTGTGCTAAAATTACATTCTCATCTAATTCTTAGCTGGATAGATTAGACTACAAGATAGTGAAACATTAAACACTGAATTCAAACTACTACAGCCTCGAAACTCTGGTGAAGCCAATTGAAAGATAACATACTACACCTCAAACATCACCTCTAGATCTTCAGTACTAAAGAAAGAAAATTCAAATAGCCAACCCAAAGTGTGTGCTTTGCCTGGGCTCAGCATCAGACTGTAAAAAGTGACCTTCTTTTTATTGAAGAACAGCATAAGTGCTTCACATTGTTCCAAAAGTTGGTTTGTGGTTTTCCTTTGAGGGGGCATCCATTTTTAATTAAGTCCTATTCTGATGATTCAAATCATTGGCATTCACTAAATCTGCCCGACTAACACCAAGATCAACAACATCAGTGTCTGTGTCTAGCGAATCTACAATCAGTTGTAGTCTTTTATAGAATTCTGTGTTAATCAATTTTACAGTTTTTCTTACACAGATTGTTTAATATTTCAGTTTTTCTTAATGGGAAACAAATGAACATACTGAAACTCTCAGAATTATATCAAGTCTTCCTTTTTCAAGTCAAACAATTACTAGTTCATGATGTTTGCAGAAAATATTTTGAATTGAGTTTCTTTATCGATGTAGTGATAATATTATGTTCTCACACAGAATAAAGAATAGGCATCCTCGGGAGAGCAGAAGAAAGTAATCTGTAGAATTATTTTCTCCCTAGGAACATAATCAGAACATGAAAAATACCCTAGTCTGTCAGGAAATCCAGTCCAGTGATTTGCCTCCAACAGTGCTAATAGGAGATGTACTTAACAAGAGCACAGAAGACTGGCCGCTTTTTTCAGTCTGTTCACCTCAAAATCCCCCAGAATCCACAACCACTTAAACTAAGGATGTTGGAGGTCTGAGTTACAATACCCTCCTCTGTAGCCCTTTGTGGTCAACAAACCCCAATCAGTAACCACAATGTAACAAAGTACTTTTTAAGTTGGTTTTACAATCTCCTCTAGTTCATACAAGGAAGCCTTTAATTCTGTTACTGAGAAATCTGGTGGATAATAATTCCACGTTCAGCAATTCCATCACTTGTATGATTTTTTTTACATCTTAATCAGATCCTTCCTGCTATTTCATCTCCAGAAGAAGGTTTCTTCTGGAAAATCCAGCCTGTGAGGTTGCAAAGATGAGGGAGGGAAGTAAAAGCAGGTGTGGGGATCTCATCTCAGGCAGCACCTAACACGAGAGTAGATCCATTTTTCTGGATCTGGGAGTTGAACTTGTTCCTGGCTCCCACAGCTCTGACAGAGCCAAGCCCTCCAAACAGTATAACAAGGATGAACTCCTCAGCCTGGACACATGTGGGTCTCACTACATCACTAGCATTTACATTAGTTTACCAACCTAGTTGGTTGGTTTACCAACCTAGCTCACCAACTTCCGTTCCTTTGTACTCAGGTTTACCCAAGCGGTCTTTCCAGAGGAAGACAGACCGGCCAACAAAACAAATAAGCCAAAAGGAACAACAGGTGTATGAGGGATTATTTAAGGTTCTTAAATCTACAGAATCTAACTCAAATACTCCCACTTAAGAGATTCCAGGCTCCCTTAAAACAGAGAATGTGCCAAGAAATAACACACACTGCTAATACTTCATTAAGCCAAAACAGTCTTCAGACACCATCATTTATCAACAGAAATGAGTAAGTACGACTCTGATGTAGACCAAAACTAGGACAGATTTCACATTCTCAGACAAAAGCTCAACCACCAGTTGGTCTCTTACATGCTGCTGCAGCAGCTTACAGGGCTATTAAAATGACGTGTTATTGTTTCCTAAGTGTTAACACTTGTGTAAGAAGCTAAGGCTTGGAAACACAGATGGTTTTCAATTGTTTGAAAGAACAGCTTTCACTGTGATAAATAAAGGCCAAGGTCTCCCTTGTGTAGCAAGCAGCATTGCCATCAACACCTGGAAATGCAGCAGAAAAACATTCACAGCCACCGCTGCAGCGTCTGACTGTGGGAGCCTCCTTGCTGCCTCTTCTCATTTTAACACGTGCCTGGTGAAAGCTTAATGAACATTAAACTCAGCAATAGCCTTTCAGGATGCTGCCCTACCACTTTGGCAAATATTTTCACTGCTTTTGCCCTCTACAACTCTAAGTTGAAAAAAAAACAGTAGGCATTTAATGTAACATTGAGAAATCTGAGGTAACTAAACTCATGCGTCCTGCTCTCACCAACATACCTCTATTGAGGACGTTCTGATTTTTAAAAAGCCACACATGAAGAAATCTTTGAGTGACTATGCTTGAAAAAATAATCTCGGGTCAACTGACACCTACCATCTTGTTTTAGAAAACAGACTTTTATAAAATGTAATATAAAAAGCAACAGATATATTTCTTTTTTTTTTCTATTAAAAACATCTCATTTTCTAAAAGAATCAAACCATTGCTGCATTATTTGTAGCTCAGATGCTGCAGTTTTTTATGACTACAGGAGAAAAGCAAGTTGATCTGAAAGCGATTCTAAACAACACTGCATTAACTAATTCAGTCTTTTCATCCAACTTGAACTAAATGCAAATGTTAAAAGCCTCAATATGAGAAGTAAGCTAGATAACAATTAGCTGTGCCAATTAGCTAAGGTATGGGTAATAGCACAGATATATATTCTAATGACATTATCAAATAAGATATTACTCTAAAATGCTAAGTCACCAGAATTACCTAAGTGGAGCTTCAATCTTTCCATTTCTTTTTCAAGAAACAATGTATGCTTGTTTATCTTTGAAACATTAGTGGTGGAATTATAAGAATACAGAGCTTGGAAGGCAGTGGTAGTCCTGGATGGCAATTGATAGAAACGAATTAAACATTGTCGAGGAAGTGAAATTTAATTACTCGTAATTCAGTATGAACATTTTTAAAAACTACAGAAGTCAAAGGAGTTCCTTTCCATTTTTCAGTCAGAGGCCAAACTAAGGGAACCAAAAATCATTTCAGACTATTTTTGCTCTTAACTTACCTCTTTTTTTTCTCTACCAGCTGTCTGCAAAGCTCCTGCCACCGGGTATTCAAGCTTCCCAGTTGTTCCTTCAGCACGCTAGCATCTGCTCTCGAGGACTGCTCAATAATCTCCTCGCCGGTGACGTTCAGGGTTTTGACAACAGTTTGCTGTCGCCCAATGCCATCCTGAAGTTCCTGCAAAACACCCAGTGCATGCACACATTCATAAAAAATGCCAAGCACAGAACAACACGCTTCAGCAAATACTGGCCAGATGGAGGGAGGTGAAAGGTTTTGCTCTCCTCTGAATTCCAAATGCACAAATCCCAAGGCAAACAGACAGAAAGACATATTTTATGTTTTTATAAAAAGTACCACTCAGTGCATCTCTACAGCTTTTTTTTCCCTCTCTGCTAGAGATCATTATAGTAAAAATCTGATAGATTAGTAAAACACCTTGTGAACGAATTTCTTTCTGCATCATGTTTAATAGCTTATGAGGTACTGTGAAATCTGTAGTTCCTACTAGCTATAAATATAAATAAGCTATGTCAATAAATAAATAAATAAAAATAAAGACTGTTTGAAGCAGTTTTCAGAGCTCCTTTACAGAATACACCTGTCTCCAGTTGTGAGAAGCTTTTTAACCCATTCCCTCATGCTTTGGGATACTGCACTTCTATCAAGTATTACTTACATTGCTTCTACTTACATAGTACAAAATGCAGAACTACAAAAAGGAAGGTACAAAGACAGACCATTAGTTTTTATTAAATACACTACATTTTCTACACCTTTTATCATTAAAACACTATCAGGCAGGCTGTTTCTTTCATTCATTTTTAAGAACAGCACAGCTCTGAATCTGTAACTTGGAATTGAACACTGTGTACCTGTATTAAAAAAGTTAATATTCAAAAATGATAGCAATTATTTCATATTCTTAGTAATCGGCAGAGCACGAGTCATTTTTTCCTTGTATATTCCTTAAAGTGAAGAAGCAGGGAAGTGAAAAATCATTTTCAACAGAGGACTGCTAAAACAAGCACAAACTGAAATAACTTCAACAACCTGCACCCTGGGATTCATATTCCTGACAGGTTTCAGCATCTCAGGATGAGTTGTATCCACACACAGGAGCTTTGAGGTAAAATGTGGGATCCGGGACACAGCGACCCCGTGTCCTGCACGGGAGCCACAACCCCGACCAGGCCCGTTCCCATTACCCACCCGCGCATTTTTCAGTTTCTCTTTGCATGAGCTCTCTGAAACTATAAATAACTGAGCGGGATCAATAAACTATCTCAATGATCTATGTGTGAATATTTGCGAGCACTTTACATTTTCCTTCGCAGAACATTTTACATAATGAAGCACAGGACTTTATTAGACATGAAATAAAATATCAGGAACCTACAGTGCAAATGATAAGACATCATTTGATGAACTTATCAGAAGCTGTTGTGCTCTGAAAGTCCTAAAGGACTTCATAACCGAGAAAGAACAAAATTGCAACACAGGAAGGAACAACGCCGGGAAAAGAAAAAAATAAAAATCCAAGTTCATTTTGTTTGAGAATAGATTTTAAATTTTTGCCTGAAGACTGTAGCTCATTAAAATATATGTTACACAGCAGGAGCCTTTCGTGGGCTCTCCTGGAGTCGCTGGAGAACCCGTTACCCGCTCGTGGGCAAGGCCCGCAGCCGGGAACACCCAGCACTTCCTTCCATAAGCAGCAGCTTTTCTCAAAACAGTTACCACCTTCCACCATTACATATAAATACTTGGTTATTGGTATACTAGGTATCTTCTAAATGATTTTCCTTCAAGGCACTGTTATATAAATTAATTATGATCAATAGTACAATAATAACAAATTAATAAAGCATTTAAAACATTACACGCTTTCTAGTTCATGGAAGTTTTCATGGAACATGAGATCTTGAAGCTCATGCAATTTTTTTTCTTCTAACTCAAGCCCATATTAACGGGTCCAGGGTTCACTTTTGTTTCCTGTGCCCAGTTCCTTAGCATTGGAAATTTAAGGGCGTAAGTATCATCAATTAGTTTTAAGATATTTTTTAAAGAGAATGGCCAGTGGAGTTGAAATAAATATTTCTGTAGGTGAATGACATATAGAGGAAGAAATTAAGCTCTCTTCTCACATGGATGTCTTTGATGGGGTGAAATGCAGCTGCTACAGCAAGTCACAAGGACATAGACTGGTAGACTTCTCTAGATAAAATTCATGGTATGAAATTAAGGGTCTCCTCTGGATCACTATATGCAGGATCTTATTCATCCTCTAAGATTACCACAGGGAAGGTTATAGAGATCAGTCTGTTAATAGAGTTAATAGATAGATGTAGAAGAAGGTGGCTGAAGTTCAGCTATAAGAAGATCCATACAAGGCTTCTCCCAAGAACTCTCCTTTTTCACAATATCAAAGTATACATGGCAGTTCAGGTACATCTCAAATATACAGTATTTCCACTTGTGAGGAACTGACTAATTGACTTTCAGTCTTACGATCTCAGTGGACTCCTTTCCATTGCCACATGCCCCCCTACCAGTCCATTCCAAGCAGTGCCTTCCTTTCTTTGCACGCTTGGTTAGGATGAGGAGGTTAGTGCTTTTAAATCAAAAACTTTTCTTTGTTGGATGCTATGAGCATCCTCGTAGCAGGTGGAGCAGGTGGACCCTGATTGGAGGGTCCAGTCCCATAGTCTCACAGATATTCCTGGCCCAAAGTGTCCCATTTTGCCTGATGGAAATGTAACATTTTAAAGAGAGCACTGTAGCAGAAACTTAAATATCTTGTAAGACGCAGGGACCCCTAAAAGCTTCTTCCTTTACTTTCTTTGATGTATCAGATTTTCTTGTCTTTCTATGATAAAGAGGATGAATGTTAGTGAAAGAATACATGGTCCCACCCTAATGACAATGGCTGTTATTTTCAGGTATGTCATTTGCTACTACATATACCAGTACTGCTCAGGTAGCTTGTCCAAATGCAAATAATCTCTGTCAATGTGAAATGGAAAAGTTGATGGTCTTTGCAATACACACTGAGTAATGCCCAATAAATACCTAGTTTTTGAATGTATATACTGTATTTCACATGGATTTTATTTCTACAGTCTTTGCGTTTTGTAGTAAAGAGCATCACAGGTAAATCAAAACAGTCTGAGCAGAAATATATTACAAAAACATATTACTGAAACAAACGTGGCTTTGCATGCACCTATATGAATGTAAAATCCATACTACTATTTGAAAAATTGAAAATAGAAAGTTCCTACATATATATAGCAGGATTGTTTATCTGGACTACTACAAACATGGACCAATGCAGGGAAATTTGAATACCAATTTCAAAGCTTTTAGAAATAACACTTGTGGAAAGAAGATGTGATCTTTTTCTAAACTGAGAGAAATAATCACCATTCAGTATGTTATTGTAAACCAAATGCTAATTAAAAACCTCTTTAAATAAATAATGTCATCTAGCTCATTTTCTGAGTTCACAGCATCTTTAATTAGTTTCATTCCCTCCCCAGCGCACATGAAAAAAATATGTATCTGGCAGCTATTATATGATTTCCACACTTATTTGAGTTGAGACAATTAACCAAGGAAATCTTCTGATTTATTCTGTGTCCTGTTATGTAACAGGCCTTTCTTACAAAGTGAAGAAGGAAAATATCCTGGTGGTAACGGTAGCCATGCATTATTCTTCGTAGTGGATAGAGCACAGCAATCCATGCAAACATTTAGCTTTTTAAACCTTATTTTGGATAAAGAGGACAACAGTGCTGTGCACTGCCGTGTTGAAACCCACATTCATTCCTTCCCAAGCCGTGATGGGCAACACGCATCCCACAACGTGGGGTCGGGGGTAAAGCTGCCAACCGCCACAGTCCCTTATGGCTTCTCTGTCAACTAATAAACATCTATTTTGTGCAATCCAATCCTACATCAAACAGTATTTTATACTGCATAAAATACACTTACAGAATTATCACAGATTCACAGAATATTTAAGGTTGGAAGGGACCTCTACAGATCATCTAGTCCAACCTTCCTGCTCCAGCAGGSACACCTAGAGCATGCGGCACAGGGTGGCATCCAGGCGGGTTTGGAAGACCTCCAGAGAAGGAGACTCCACAACCTCCCTGTGCAGACTGTTCCACTGCTCTGTCACCCTAACAGTAAAGAAGTTGCTCCTCACCTGGAGACGGAACATCCTGTGCTCCAGCTTGTGGCCATGACCCCTCGTCCTATCGCTGGCCGCCAGTGAGAACAGCCTGTCCCCTTCCTCCCTGCATTCTCCCTTCCTGAACTTATACATATTAATCAGATCCCCTCTCARCCTTCTCTTCTCCAGAGAAAACAGGCCCAGCTCACTCAGCCTCTCTTCATACGAGAGATGTTCCATTCCCTTAATCATCCTAGTTGCTCTTCTCTGGACCCTCTCGAGAAGCTCCACGTCCCTCCTATACTGGGGTGCCCAGAACTGCACACAGTACTCCAGGTGCGGCCTCACCAGAGCTGAGGAGAGGGGCAGGATCCCCTCCCTTGACCTGCTGGCAACACTCCTGATGCAGCCAGGATCCCATTGGCCTTCTTGGCCACGAGGGCACACTGCTCACTCATGGTTAACTTAGTGTCAACCAGGACTCCCAGGTCCCTCTCTGTGGAGCTGCTTTCCAGCAGGTCCACCCCTAATCTGTACTGGTGCCTAGGGTTATTCCTCCCCCCTTTTAATTATAAAAGGTCACGGTAACTTGGTTTCATATATATATTTTTTTTAATTTGAAACATCCAGAGTTTGTACTTTCAATCATCATTTAATAAGCTGTTCAATATCTATGTTGTGTTAGTATTATCACACTTTTCCTTTCTCTGGACATCAACATCATAAAGTTAGTTATACGGAAGTTAGTTATACGTTCCATTAATTCTATCAAAAAGATCTGTTTAACCTTTTTGTAGGGAAAGGCACATTAATGTACCTAATTAACTAAAGAATTTGCCAGGCTATTTCACACAAAATATATCACGCCACCATGTCCTCATACCATCTTCTATTCTCACGCCTTTCACAGTGCTCACAAGCATTGACTGGGAATTATGACAAAAAAAAAGAAATTAAAAAAATGGTTCAGACAGATCCTTGGTGCTAGTTAAAATGC